ATTTTTTAATTTCGACCGTTGAAAATAAAAAAAAGGGCCGTTGCTTCTTTTTTTTATTCACGTTAATCTGACATCAAGTCAGACCATTATAGTCCCTATGCCCAATTTGCCTTCCCCTCATTACACGCCTCACGTTGAATTTGGCCATAAAATATTAAAGTTGGTGGGCCATGACATGAGACATGCACATGATACATTTGGTCAAAGTTTTCAGAATCTGAGGTGAAAGAAAAGATTAAAAAAAGCGGCTGGAGGAAAATTTGGTAATTGAATGCCTTTTTTTCTTATTGCCGTGCAAGAGTCTTCTGTCAGTGAACCCCGGTTGACAAGACATGAAAATCGATTTTTTACTCCAATATTGCGCCCAGACATGATCTAAATAAAAAGAAAGAAAGAAAGAAAGGCAAAGGTGATTAAATTGAATTAAAAAATTTCTTCTGTTGCCTTACTTTTAAAATTCTTTAAAAGATTTTTTAATTTGTTTATTGTTGTATTTATGTTTTCACCTTTTTTGGTATCATTTTTTTCTTCAATTTTCAATAAATTAGCATGTCTTATTTTTTATTATTGTTTCTGTCCAACTATTTTGATAGCTTACTTTAAAATGAAGAGCAAATATTATGTTACACATTTATATTTTTTTTTCTTATTTAAAAATATGATGGGTAAATAAGTCTTTAATTGCTCTCTTGAGTGGACAGAAACCATCATCAAGATAAAATATGCTAGTACATAGAATGTTAAAGATAATAATGTAACAAAAAAATGGAGACACAAGTGTGACAATGGACAAATTAAGATTGAGAGCTTTTATTACAATAAAATATCGTATAACTATAGAAAAAAAATCGTGATTCTATATAACTACAAAAGATACATACTGTACATGTTTAGTTGAATAAGATCGAAAAATATAATAAAACATTCATCTTCATTTTCTTGTCTAGTACTGTCTAGATCCATCTAGTCATCCATTATAGATGTAATCGATTCATACTTTTCATATGTATTTAGTTTATAATTTCTCTTAAAGATAGATAATTAATTGTTTTGGGTTATTAGCACAAAACGTCTATACGTTTTAATTTTTTGCATTTGTACCTCTATTTTCACATTTCATTGTAGAAATCCTCATTTTCATCCATTTTTATCCAATTTCTCGATGAAAACTGTAAAATAATAAATATACACTCATATTTAAATGAAAAACAAGAAAAGAAAAATAAATAATAAATTGCCACCATACTTTCAATTTTTTTAAAAAAAGTACAAATAAATTCCAAATAAATAATTAAAAAATAAAAAACAAAAACAACTTTATTTCATCCTTTCTCTTTTACAGACACTTTTACTAGCTGAAAACAACATCCATTGCCACCTTAGCCATCGAAAACCACCACAATCATACAACCCTCCATCCCGCCATCACAACACACCAACCTGCTGGTCCAAACCCCACCAGATCTGATTGCGATTGGCAGTCAAAACCTCCAACTCGAAAACACTAAATCGGCAGAACCATGACTTCCAGCGACTTTCACAGTCGCGCCCTACCACCAACTTGTTCCCCTCATCAAGGTGACCTAAACCATGGTCAAACATCAGCCAAAATAACCTCTAATCAATCTGCCGTGATTCAGATTTTTTTCAATTACGAGACGCGAAGAACCAAATTTGCCTCCATCAATTCCGGTCACCCAAAGCACCAATGACCAAAATTGGCCTCGGTCGAACCTCCAACAGACCCAATCAACAATGGATAATGATCTAATTGTTTCAATTATCCTCCCAATTGATCCAATTTTTGGATTAAAAAAAACCACAAATCGTGTGCATAGCAAGGAATATTTTCTCAAAAGTGATGGTTCACGTGTTACAATCATCCAATTCACATGGGAGAATTCAAATTGAGACACAAACATTCATGAGTAAATTGCCAATTACATCAATTACACAACCAATTATTCAATTTCAACTGTACGTTACTGTGTTTGAGATTCAGATTACGAGCTTGAAGGTGGTGACAGATATGGAAATTGGAATGGTTTTGTTGAATGAACTGTGTGTAAGGGTTCGTCGAAAATTATAGATACTGTGACGATAGACTAAAAGTAGGAATTGTGTGGACTGTTTATTTTGCGTGGTTGGCAGTTGGTTGGGATTTGACTGGCGAGTTGAATGGTGGGGTTGTATAATACCCACCAACTTCACATCTTTCACACAATTGATTTATGGTTTCATGGTGGTGAAGGCGGCAGCGACATCGGCGGTGGACGAGAAAGGAGGAAAGAAAGTGATTTTTGTTTTTTAATTGTTTGTTTGTGATTTATTTGTACTTTTTAAAAAAAAATTGGAAGTATGATTATGTTCTTTATTTTTTTTGTTTTATTTAAATATGATGGCATATTTGTCATTTTACAATTTTTTAAATCGAGAAATTGGATGAAAATAAAGATTTCCATAATAAAATGTGGAAATATGGGTGAAAATACAAAAAATTAAAACGAATGAACGTTTTGCACACTGAATGCCTAAGCATGGACGTTTTGTGCTAACAACTTTAATTGTTTAGTTAACTTTTCAAAGCTGATGTATAATGTAGTAATTAAATTTATAGCAATGTATGGTTATAATTATAATTATAAAAAGTAACACGGAAACTAATTGTCAAAATTAATCACTTTTGGTAGAACGAGTTGAAAATACAACATAGCTTTCTTTAACTGGGTCAAATTTTACTACTTTACTGGTCCAAAATTAAAAGATCTTTAACACAATTGCAGTGTGACATGCCAACCTAATGATCACTATGCTACATCAAAAACGTTAAAAGAAAAATTGGCTTTTCCATTGTACAGGAAGAAGTTAACACTCTCTCACAGCGGTGAGCCCCACGCGATTAAAAAAAAATTACCCACCCACCCACATACATCCCATGTGTGAGAGATTGTCAACCAAACCACCCCCTCATGTACGGTAGTATTCCTCTAGAAAAATACATCCTTTTTATTTAAAGGTATTATTATAATCTTTCTTTTCACTATTTTTCTTTCTAAGGTGTTGTGGAGCAATTGACAATTTTTAGGTGCCAAAATTACCCTTGTCATCCATGACTACACGTCTCCCGTGAAAAATTAAATTTCCTCTCCATCTTTTTTGCTCATCTTAAAAATGTGATCCATCTTTAATTGTCTCAAAACCTTTTTTTCCCTTCTCTGTGACAATTCACTTTTTCTCTTTATCATCATATTCTCTCTTCTATCCCGAATCCACATTCTTCTATTTCACGGCTAATGTCGTGTTCGCATTGTCGCCACGACATAATTAATTAGCTGTTGTTGCCATTACCGTCGCAGTTCTTATTGAATGTCATTGTTCTTGCCGTACAATCACAAAATTCTTACTCCATTCGTCCCAATTATATAGGCTGAGTTTCTTTTTTCTTTTGTCCCAAATATATAGACTTGTTTCCTAATGTATAATATTTTGTTGTGTTCTTTTTTACTAATATATCCTTATTAAATTTTTTCCACTTAATATGCAAATTTCTTGAAAATTCAAATTCTTTATTAATTCCAACAGTAATTTAGTTTTACATACTAAAAATTAAATAGAGGTAAATTAGGAAAGATCTTAACAAAAATTAATTTTCTAATGACATTAAATAAGTTTTCTTAATCCGTGTGAAAAACTAAGCAAGCCTATATAATTGGGGACGGAGTGAGTAATATAAATATTTTTGGTACAAATATGCCTTTCCAAGCGGTCAAGAAATTATACAATGTCAAGAACACACAGACAATTCAAAATCCAAATGTCCAAAATGTCTAGACGTCTCCAATTTCAATCTTTTGGACAGGCAAGAAATGATAGTGGAATAGGAGAATTTCAAATGTTTAAAGATTATGGTAGCTAAACGTTTTTATTTGACAACTGGAAAAAAAATCATGTTTTGAATAGTAATTATTAGAAGAATATGTGATTAAAAAGCAGAAATTTTTTGAATAAGAAAAAAAGGTGAAACACACGTTGATCAATAATTTTTATTCTCAAATCTCAACAATCTTGATAAAATACTATGTAAATCATATTATTCACATGAATTAATCTACTTGTACAATGATGATTGACAAAGTTTGTTGACAATGTTAGATGTGGCAAAATCTGAACAATTGATTTAAAATCTTAGACCATTTTTCACTAATAATTCTATGAATTAATCTACTTGTACAATGATGGTTGATAAAGTTTGTTGACAATGTTAGATGTGACAAAATCTAGACAATTGATTTAAAAACAGTTTTTGAATTTTTTTGAAATGAGTGAATGTGATGATGCCAAATCGTGATTGTCAACAAATATTGTCAACCATCGTTGTACATGTAGCATGATTGTTATTCACATTATTTGAATCTAAAAGAGCCACCTCTTGAATTAAATAAAAAGCAAATAGTTGTTAGAAAAATTGGTAAGTAAGTTGAGTCGTGTAACACATTAGTTTTTCTTAAAAGGAAAGCAATAGTTTCTTTATTTAATAGGCTATGTGACCAAAGAAGAGGGATTCCGCCCCTCATATTTTACTTAAATATTGACGATAAAATTGCTGTCCTCAACTTATTATTTTTAAGCAATTGGCCGTCGTCGTGTTTCGTGCGAGGCATTGTCAAAAAGAAAAACGAATAAGATTTTCTTTTTGCCTGTCATCAATGATCCGGAATCTGACGTCAGATGCTCACATAAACCATGACATCACAACGAAAGGCACTGCACCTGATTCGTCAATTTTCGGGGGCGTAAAATGCAAATTTTGTCTCTTTAATTACCTCTACCAATTACGTACATATACTTTTCTCCGTGTATATATGTATGCACATATTGCTAATGCATCACAAATCTTGTGTTTCTTTGTATACGGCTAGAGAGAGAGAGAGAGAGGGAGAGGGAGAGATCTGACAGAGAGAAAAAGACAGATAAAGCACGGCGGCGAGGGCTTGTTTCACATGGCGGAGGTGGTGAATGTGCGGTTAGAAACGGTATCTTTATCAGCAAGAGTGGCACCAATTGACGAGGAAATTTGCCCTGAAAACATTAATCAACAATCTCTGCAAAACTCAGAAACGTCATCAATTCAAGGGTTTGAATCTTGGCTACCCATTACAGAATCCAGAAAGGGTAATGCTTTCACTGCTGCACTGCATTTATTATGCTCTGGAATTGGAGTCCAAATTCTACTGCTTCCCATGGCATTCGTCGCACTGGGATGGTAAGTTCGTGACGTTATATTATGTTTAGTACGTGAAATTAATCACACGCTCAAATATCCCGTGCCATTCGTTGCACTCTCAGATGATGCATTCAAGAAAGTCGATCACATGAATATTTATATTCTGAAGTTAGTCTATGATAATGATTATTTCCCATCAGAAATATATATTTTATGAGTAAATTCTTGATTAATTTATCTAGATTTTTTCCCATTATTATTTTTATGATTTTCATTATTTGACACGAATATCAAACATTAGGATAGAATAATGCTATTCATCCTCCATGACTCATTTAATTGAGTTTATCATTTAATGTCATGTAATTGATACATAGACGGGGGCTCGTATAGAATAGAATAATATTGTTTGTTTAACAACGAGCAAATTAATATTAAATCAATCTAATTAAGAAAGAAAATAAAGATATTTAAAATGTTTTGAAGAAATGAAGAGAAAGACAACTAAGACTTGATCACGCCTATTAAATATCATTATTAGGATGTTCATCAACTCCAACATTTTCATTGTCACGCTCTGAAGATAATGGATTTGACTTGCGTAGACTAATTAATATTTTTAAATGTTGCTTACTTGGGATTATGTAATTCTTTATTTTGATCCATTTTTTATAATGTTTATTTAACGACTAATACTTTTTATCATTGAAGACGTGACAATTCATTATCCATCATATAAAACTTGAACCGTCCAAACTCATTATTCTATACAGGCTGTCACATTATTCATATTTAATAACCATAATGATAAATAACGTTATTCTTATTTAATAAGTTTTTGGGGGTGCAGGTCATGGGGCATCGTCTCTCTGTGTATGGCATTCTTGTGGCAGCTCTACACTACATGGATTTTAGTGCATCTTCACGAACCAGCACCTGGAATTCGTTACAGCAGATTTCTCCACCTATCTATAGTAGCTTTTGGTTAGTATCATTAATTTATTTATAATTGTCTTTCTTTAATTATTCTTTCTTTCTTTAAAAGCTTCTAAATGTTTATGTAACTATACATCAATTTTCCCAAATTATTTGATGAAAGAGAACCTCATGTTACGTAAAAGCGAGAAGAGACAACAGAAAATAATAAAAAGAACACACATATTTACTTGGAAACCCTAGACAAGAAAAAATCACAAGGCACGTGAGAAAAAATTCAATATATCAAAGATGAGTACAAGCTCCGAATAATACAATGAAACCCTAACACACAAGCGCGCGCGAGAATAATGAAAAAAAAGTCCACCATAGACTCGATCCCTATTCTACCATTATAGACCCTCAAAAAATTCTCATAATTTTGATTTCATTACGTATGTTGCACCGCGAGTTTTTCAGGTTGCGTCAAACAGAATTAAGGTCACTGTATTCTCACAATCCCCAAATTCATATATATTATTTCATTTTTCATGAACAATGAATTTCGAAAGTGATACTATGCATGGCTTTGATTTTAGGTCCAAAATTAGGAAAGTTGCTAGCGATATTCCCAACAATGTACCTGGCAGGAGGCACGTGCGTCTTGTTCATAATCAATGGGGGCTGGATCATTGAGCTTTTCTACAAAGTCATTTGTGGTGATAATTTGCAATGCAATAACAAGACATTAACCGGTGCACAATGGTTCTTAGTCTTTGTGTGCTTGTCAATCTTGTTGTCTCAATTCTTCCCAAATTTGAACTCTCTGTCCCGGGTTTCATTTGTCGGTTCGATTATGGCCGTCACATATTGTAGCATGATATGGATTCTATCCGTCAGCACGGGTCCAATGAAAGGTATTTCCCATGACCCTTCTGAGGCATCAACATCGGACATGGTCGCAATTCGTAATGCCTTGAATGGTATAGGATACATTGCTCTCGTATTCAGAGGTCACAATCTTGTACTTGAAATACAGGTATTCATCGAGAAAATTAACGTGTACCATGTATTAGTTAGTTTGTTTTGCCGAGTTTAAAAGACACTAAAATAATTTACTGATACAGGGGACAATACGCTCGAATCAAAAATGTCCTACGAGCGTGCCTATGTGGAGAGGAGTGACAATATCATATTTACTTGTAGCAATATGTCTATTTCCCATTGCAATTGTTGGATATTGGGCTTATGGAAATACGGTAAGGTTTCTATTATCAGACATACAGATATATAGATATAGAAGAATTGCTCTAATTGATACTGAGATTTAACTTTTTCCATCCTCAGATACCCTTTAATGGAGGAATTTTAAGCGCATTAATGAAGTTCCACAAAAACAACACATCAAAGTATGTCATTGGTACAATATGTTTGACAATGTTGTTACACTACATGTGTGCATTCCAAATTTATGCCATGGTAGTGTTAGACAACTTAGAGTGCCTTTACGTCACCAAGAAAAACGAACCGTGCCCTAGATGGATCCGATCAGCAATCCGAGTATTCTTTGGAGGATTGACGTATTTTATTGCAGTGGCATTCCCCTTCTTGGGAAGTTTGGGTTTATTCATCGGCGCAATAATATTACCGTTGACATTTTCTTATCCATGCTTCATGTGGATTGTGATGAAGAAACCTCGGGCGATGAGTCGAATGTGGTGCCTCAACGTAGGTCTCGGCTCGTTGGGTGTGTTGCTCAGCTTATTATTACTCGTTTCATCTTTGAGTACACTAATAGCTAATGGCCTAGATGCCAACTTCTTCAAGCCTAAATGACAATATTGTACATTGTGTACAAAGTAATAGGTTTAGACTAAGCTCGATTTCAATCACTATTGTATCCACTTTATGTTAAACAATGGCGTGATGATGAAATTGGCACCAAAAACTCTTTTTGAAAGAGATTATTACCTAGAAATGTCTACAACCATACAATTAGTTGTCAGTTCTGTTTGACAAAACTCTCGAATCGGAACGAATCAGACACGAATCGAATCGAAACAAGCGGTTCTTCATAAGTTAAATACCCGAACGGGTATCTGAATCAAGAACCGATGGATTTAGTTCAGTTCTCGATTTTAGACCAAGAACAGAATAATCGAATAAAAACCGAATCTAAATAATTTTTTTAATTTTTTATATTGAATTAATTACATTATTTTAACTTTTCTAAACAAATTAGCAAATTAATTAATTTAGTTATTAATTCTCCAACTCACAAGTCAAGTCCATGCCTAACTAGCCAATCCCAACCCAATTTCTAAATTCAATTGATGATTAAATCAAATAGTTGGTAAGTATTGGTAATGCTTAACAATATTTTATTTCTATAAATTTTAATTTATATTTCATTTTTTATGTACACTGCTTGAAGCAAATGAATTATTAATATGGATCACCGATATTTTAGTACTAGTATATATTTTTTGATATTTGTAAACATTAATGAATTAATCTTATTTGACAATTTGTTATTTATATGTTTTTAACTTTGACTACGTTGATTTGTAAAAGTTACGAATGAACAAGTCATTAGTTGTATTTATGTAGTATTGTTATAAATGTTAAAAAATAAATCATGGTACAGAACCAAATGGAATCGAAACCGAACGGTTCCATAATTATATTTAGACCAGACGAATTATTAAATACCCGAAAATTTTTGGTTTAGTTTGGTAAATCGGACCATGTTCAGCCCTAATTAAAAATAAGCTCCAAGGAACTCTTCATCTTAGAGCTTGTTTGGGAGAGATTTTTGGGGGAAAAATTGATTTTGAATAGTGATATGATGGGAAAAATGTGATTGAAAAAGAAGAAAAAATTATTGATGTGATGGAAAATATTATTTTATTGAATAATGTATGGTTGAAAATGAGAATTGATTTACTGTAGAAAAATTTAATCCCTCCCAAACAGGGCCTTAATTTTTAAAGCGAAGTGCGTTTTGCTCTATTCTTCGAAAAAAGCAAAACCCATAGTCGAATTAGAGAAATTATTGGAGTGCATAAATTTTTTTTTTTTAAATTTAAATATGTTCACTATTATCAATAAAATGCTCTTTACAAATAGATAATTTATTGGAGATCCTCTTAAACAAAGTTGTGTAGGGAAATTAGGCCAATTTCTAATATGATATCTAACAACCATACAGCGGAATAAACAGTTTCTCATTTCTTGTGAAATCCTAATAGTAGATAATCAAATAAAGTAATAATCAAATAAAGAATGCGTGAAATAAATGACAATATTTAACATGGTTCGACAATATACTTACTGTTAGAATTTTGGTGTGACTCAAATTCATTGTTGAAGTAATTGAAGAATTCTAATTGAGGTGCACATCAAGAAGAATTCAGTTTGGAATGCTACTGGAGTCCTATGTCAAGTTGAAATTCTATTTTGGAAGCCCATTAGGAGTTGTAATTTTTTTTGAACTTCTGACTCAATTGGTTCCATGCAGTGATGCTCTGAGGTGGACAAGTCTAACCATTACCTGGCTGAGTCTCTCAATGTGTATGGGAAAAGCCTGTCTGATTGCTTCACTGGACATCCCTCCATACTCAATAGCTGCACACATGTCCAAAAATCTTGATATATGAGCTTTAGGATTCTCCATAGTTCTCCCAAAGAATTGTAGCACGTTTTGGATCATGTTAATCATATTAGTCCTCACGTAGAAGTTTGCTTGACCAAACGTAGGATATATTATGCTAGAATGACTTTTCACAACTAGTGGAACCATGTACTCCCACATTAGTGTATTTTCATCTGATGCAGCAATATTCGGTTGTATTGCTTCCATATTAGCCCCGATAACTATTTGATTCGGACTTTCCTCCGTCATGTCTTCTTCTTTTTATTTTTGGTGTGTTTCCAACTATTGTCTTTTTCGAATGTTGAATGTTCGTTCGATCTCCTGGTCAAATTAAACAAGATCACTGGTTCTCGAAATTTGAATACATTGTCTTGAAAAAGGAAGCAGAAAACACTATAAAGTTTTTATAATATAATGAACTAAACTAAAAAAAAACAATAAAATAAATTTACTAAACTTATCAAAAACAATAGTACTCGGCAACGGCACAAAAAACTTGGTCTTTTGAAAATCCGCAAGTGTGCGGGATACTAGTCAAGTAATAAAGTAAAGAATATAGTGTCAAACCCAAGAGAGCTATATGTTTAATCGAGTTAAAATTAATTGCAATTTTAATTGAATAGCAAATAAATGTGTTCTTTAAATATGTGATATGCATTGTTAAGATGTCGAACCCCCCCTGTTATTCCATTTTTAGTGTAACAATTAAGGTGACAATTTGAAATCATTTATGTTGGTCAACGTTCTTAATTTAATTAAAAGTCTCTCTTGATAGCGATCAAATATATTCCCCTCATGTGATCTTTCTATCTCTCGATGAAAGACACAAATATGATAAATGCATTAACAAGTGCTAGAATATCTATTTAAACCATATAAAGCATAGCGGTACATTACTGTCATCTATCGCACCTTACAATATTTATTATATTGTGCTTAAACCCTACTGTCTCTCTCGATAACAATAAAATTCATTAACAATTTAATTGGTAATCAATCAATTAAAAAGAATGATAAAAAGGATGATAAACATCCACAAATCAAACCAAATTAAAGTCAAACTAATTAATTAAAAACTAAAATATCATAAAAATGGTTCATCTCACCTTAAGAATGTATAAAATTAGCCTTACAAGAAATCATATTTAAATGGAAAGACAACTCGATTTTTTTATAAATTGAGATGATGAATATGAATCTTGAATCTATTCAATGGTTTCTTGAAGAATCTCCACTTACCCCTTCTTTGCCAATTTTTTTTTTTACATTTCACTTGATTGAATTCTTGCAAATCTTATACAATTCTCTCATAAAAATTATGAATTTTCCTCATTTGATGATAATAATTGATGAGTATTGGTGTATAATATGTATATGATAGATCTCTAATATGTATTCCGATGTTAGGTATTTGTGGGAGTAAAAAATTGGTTGAAAATCAAGTCCAAATTGATTTCCAAAAAAGTTCCAATCGAATAAGGAAAGTTGCATTTACGCGCGGATTTTTTGTCTCTACACAACAATCAGCTTTTTGGCCATAATTTTCTCTATCAATATTCGATTGAGGCGATCCAAACTGTGTTGAAAATCTAACTCAAAGGGTTACAACTTTTTTAGAAATATAATTTTTTCAATTCGGACATTTATTATACCAAAAATGGGTCTTAATTTTCGGCTAAAAATATGGAATATAACTTGTGTGATTGGAAATTGATTTTGATAATATTTTGATCATATTCCATTCCTTTTTGATATCTAAGTCCATCCCATTGTCTCCTAGAAATTTTCAAAATATCTTCTTGTGGTCCGACTTAACTATTGAATATTTGAAATTTTATCCTCAAACTTTGGACTTTGCCATTTTCCTAATTTTTTCCTTTTCTTCATTCAATTCCTAGTTCAACCATTGAATTTTACCTATATAACATAAAATTGCAATAATTTAGGTGTTGTAAAAAGAGAGAAAAGATCAGAGAATAAGATAAGTCAATAGTCTTGTGTGTATTATAATGAGAACCAAATCCCTATATTTATAGGGAAGGAATATGGATACATATGATAATAATATCTAGGGCTGCAGGGGAACAGTTGTCATTCACCAATAACTTACCATTTACAATACTCCCCATTGAATAACACATTACAAAATATCTCTCTCGTTAAAACATTGTTTGATAAAAACTCAATGGGACAAAAAATCAAATCGAAGGAAAAAGAGTACAGTTATTTTAGAGTATTAAAGATAAATCTGCCTCATTAAAACATTGCTAGGAAAACTCAGTGAGATAAAACCTAAGTGAAGGAAAAAGAGTACAGGTACTCCCCTTGATTTTTATCACTGAAAATCTTTAAGTCGACACATTCAAATCTTGTGAACCAACTTTATGAATGTAGATGTTGGCAGTGCTTTTGTAAATAAATCAGCCACATTGTCAATTGAACGAATTTGTAGAACATCGATGTCGCCATTCTTCTGAAACTCGTGTGTATGATATAATTTTGGAGAAATATCCTTCGTCCGTTACCTTTGATATAACCTTCTTTGAGTTGTGCAATACAAGCAACATTATCTTCATACAAAATTGTTGGACTATCTTTTGTTAAAATTAATCCACATGATACTTGGATATGATTGGTCTTGATTCTCACCCATACACATTCTCGGCCTGCTTCATGGATTGCAATAATTTTTGGATATGATTGGTCATGTTCCTTAACCATACACATTCTCGGCCTGCTTCATGGATTGCAATAATTTCAGAATGATTTGAGGATGTTGCTGTCAATGATTGCTTCACGGATCTCCATGATAGAGCCTTTCACGTGTAAACACATATCGTATTTGTGATTTAGCTTTATGTGGGTCAAAGAGATAACCTGCATCTGCATAACCCACCAAAGTATATCCCGACTTTTGAGAATAAAATAATCTCAAATCAATAGTACTCTTTAGGTAACGAAAAATATGTTTAACACAATTTCCAATATCTTTGTGTTGGTGTAGAGCTATATCTTGTAAGGAGATTTACAGAAAAACTATGTCGGATCGAGTGTACTTTGCAAGATAAGTTAATGCTCCAATTGCACTAGATATGGTACTTCAGGAACAAAAATCTTTTCTCCATCTTCAAGTGGACAAAAATGATC